AAGTGAAAACTTCTTTAGCGGCGTTGTAGACTTTTTTTGTAATGGGTAAAAAATGTTAAACTCGTGTCAGGACACGTGACCTGATCGAAAATTCGTAAGACGGATGGAGAGTAGACAGCTGGCGTGGCGTAGGAGAGGGAGTATCCCCCTCTCTTTCTACGGCGCGGGCGAGAATGTATGCCTGCGCCGGCTGTTTCGTTTAGGCGGCGCAGGGCGACATTAAGTCAATTAATTAATTAATAATTAATTAATTAAATTAATTTTTTAATAAATTAATTGACATTCGTCAATTTGATTATTATTATTTAATCTTAGCACAACGAAATACAAAACTGCTATTGATGCGGTCTTTATTAGACATTTGAATAGGTTCGAATCGAAACTGTTCGTTTCTTACTTCAGCTATCATAAACCGATCGTATCAGTTTTAGAGATTGGCGATGATGGTTCTGATAAGAATGATAGTGAAAAAGTCGTTGAAATTATGGATGAAAGTTAATCTTTTTGAGAGATAAACTTTTTAATGTAATATAAATTGTCATGTTTGTGTACGATAGCGCAATAAATAAATATTGTATTCTACCATATAAAAGATAGTACTTTTATTCTGATAATTAAAGCAATTCGTGCAAACTTATTCCCTAACCATTCCAAAATATCCAAAACGCACAACGTTAATACTTAAGTTTTCACTTCTGCCGGCACTCCCGGAGTGCAACCCGTCGTTTTTGAAGTGAAAACTTCTTTAGCGGCGTTGAGCACTTTTTCTGTAATGGGTATAAAATCTTAAACTCGCGTCAGGACACGTGACCTGATCGAAAAAGCGTAAGACGGATGGAGAGTAGACAGCTATCCCCTCTCTACGGCGCGGCGAAAATGTATGCCTGGGCCTACTGTTTCGTTTAGGCAGCGCAGGGCGCTTGCGCGAATGTTCGTGTATGTTACAGCGTGCCACGCGCATCCATGGATGGTGACAGCTGATGGCTCGACCGTCTGTGTAGTGATCACATTGTTGTGTATTTGTAAAATTCGTGAATGTAAAGTGCTTAAAATATGGAAATTGAACAAAGTGCATCTATTAATGATAAAAGTGATGAAGAAATAGCGAAAGAAAATGAGTGAGTACTTTATAAATATACTAGATGAAAATTTAATAAGTTTTAATTTTTAATTAATATAATTTTTTATTATTCAGGTTAGGTTAGGTTTAATTAATTTTCATTTATTCATTAATATAATTTTATAATTAAGGTTAGGTTTCGATCGAGTCTATCGTACTGCTTAACGAAATTATTAATATAGATACATATGAACTTACATAGTATAAATGTAATATTTGTAATATGTTTATACTTTATAGCATTAACCTATATTTTCATAACATCACAATAAGCACATGTGCGGTGTAGGTTTACCAAACAAATAATTTCGAATGAAAATAAATGAAATAAGATGATAATAAATAATCTCCGTTTTTCAGAGAAAGAAAAGAAAAAAAAAAAGAACGGAATCGAGAATACCAAAAGGCATGGCGTCAGCGTAAAAAAGATTTGAAAAAAAAGATTCGAAGGAGGAAAAAGAAGAAAAAAAAGAAAAAGACATTGTGAGAATCAAAGAGCATATTATCAACGTACAAAAGGTTTAAAGGAAAATGACGAAAATGTAGAAGAATTGTTCCAAAAGCAATTAGATGATTTGCAAATGTAATTTGATTTCATATTTTAAATATTGTAATATATATATATATAAATATATATATACATATATTTTATTGTTTTATTATGTATTTTTATTGTTATTATTTTATTTTATGATTTCTTTGTTTTTTTTCGCAGGAAAAAAAAGAAATTGGAAAGTAATGAAGACCAAGAGAATGTTCTGCAATGCAGGGCTTTTCGAAATTTAGAAAATGTACAGCTCGAACAAAATCAATTCCTCACCCAACAACTTCGTATATATGAAGAGAGTCACGAATGTATTACCCCCAAAGTCATTTTACATAGAACTACAGATATTCCAGGTGATGGTAATTGTCTTTTCCATTCACTCATACATGTTCTGCAACTTAAAATTTCGACTTGTGATTTGAGAAGACAGTTACGTGATTCACCTTATTTAAACTCCTGCCACAATCCACAAGAAGCATATAATATACTTTCAAGTAACAATGAATATGGAGATTTGGATTGTTTATATTTGTTTGCAAAAACTTACAATCAAAATATTTGTGTGCATTACCACTATTTCAACGTAATTTCAAAAAATAAAGATACTCGATTCTGTCATTTTAAAGCAAATGATACACATAATTGGATTCATCTTGATCTTCGTGAGCTACACTTTACGCCTTACTTCTCTGATGATGAAAAGAAGAAAGAAGATGAAAGAAAACAAAAGCAGAAGAACAAAGAATATTCTAAGCGGTATCGAGATAAAAAAAGAACATCAATATACAAAACAGCCCCGTCCGCCGGAGATGTGTTGGATGTACAACCAGTCATTCATACTTCACAATTGCAGACCCGTCCACCGGAGGTGTGCCATATGTTCCACCAGTTATTTGTAGTTCCCCAAATTGCAGATTTATTGTCGAGAGATGTACCTTCAAGTCCATCAATACATTCTAACTACAATTCTATCGAAGTGCGTCAAAGGCATTTTCCTTCTCAAGATGTTGAATCATCTCCACCTAATATACATCTTCAAACATACTCTGCTTTTCAACAGAATTCTTCTGCTCATCAACAGTTTGAAAATGATTTTGTTAAAAATGAATTTGGTCATGCTTGCGACATTTGTGACAGACTGTGGTTTAGAAAAGATTTGAAATATTTGCAAAACAACGATGCAACTCCAAAAATTGAATTTATAAGAACATTGCTCTCGAACATTGCTATACTGACAATAAAAATATGTTCGACTTGCTTTAAAGCCATTCAAAAGCAATGTATCCCACAACTATCAGTTTACAATGGATTCAAATATCCACCACTTCCAGACTGTCTTAAAGACTTTCCTTTGGACTTGGTAACTGAAAGACTTATATCGCCAAGGATTCCATTCATGCAAATTCGAAGGCTTCGGCATGTTCACGGTCAATATGGAATATACGGGCAGGTGATAAATGTTCCAATTGAAATAAACACAATGGTGCATCAGTTACCAAGACAAGTGGATGATGATCATGCTATAACAGTTCACATTAAAAGGAAAAAAATTCACAAATCTAGCTACGTGTATGGTATAGTGACCAAGAGAAAAATAAAAGTGTGGTTACGATATTTAAAGGATACTCCTCTTTACAAGTCTTACGGCGTTTTAGTTGACGATGATTTTTTAAATGATAGAAGTTATGACGTTGAAGATGAAATCATCTTTGATGAAGATGGCGACAATGACCTTTTAGAACAAATACCCATCGAGGAAAGTTTAATAGCACAGCAGCAAACATTGATGTGGAACGACGATATGTACTGAGAATCGCTCCAGGCGAAGGTAGTTTTTATTTTTATTTTTATGTTTCTTTAATTTATTGAACAAGAAGATACATAATATATATGATTTACTTTTGCTTTCTTTTTTAGGTAATGCTCCAAAGAGTTTGCTGTTTGATGAACATGCTGAAGAATTATCTTTTCCACAAATATATCTGGGGCATTTCAGAGAATTTAGGAATGCGGTCACACCCTTCATGATGGCTACGAGTGAATTAAGAAGATCTGATAGACGCGGAGTAACCCCTCAACACTTATTGTACATGGCTATGAAAATAATGAGAATTAGAATTAAGGACTCTCTTCACATTGCATTTAAGCATGTCGGCCAAGGTATTGCAATAACTAAAGAGCAAATAGAATCTGATGATTATATTCACGGCTGCATTGAAACTAATTTGGCATTCCTTCGTTCTATTCCGAATTCAGCATACTATTGGGCAGAAAGAAAAAGAGATCTTTTTGCTATGATTCGTCAATACGGTAAGCCAACTGTTTTTCTTTACCATAAGTGCTAATGAAATTGGATGGCCTAAATTATTACAATTGTTGCATAATTTGAAAAATAATGCGGAAATATCGGTTGAAGAGGCTGCAGATTTGCATTTTATTGAGAAAAGCACTCTTATTAATGAAGATGCCGTAACATGTGCTATATACTTCAATAAGTTGGTCGAAGTTCTTTTAAAAATATTACAATCAAAAAGGCACAGTCCTTTCAAAAAATACAGGATTTTGCATTACTTTAAAAGAATTGAATTCCAACATCGAGGTAGTCCACATGCGCATATTTTAGCTTGGTTAGATAATGCCCCAGAAGACGCCCTTAACAGAGATTATAATGAAGCTATCGATCTTATCGATTTTCTGATATCAGTATCTGCTGCCGAGGCTTCTGGTGATATCCGATTACAAACTCATAAGCATACTTTTACTTGCTATAAAGGTATAGCATCGAGACGACAACAAAAATGTAGATTTGACGCTCCGTTTATGCCAGTTAAGAAAACCATGATTTTGACGCCTATGCCAGATACAGAAAATGGTTTCCAACGGTACAAGGCTAAATATAATTTAATCCAAAAAAACTTGGAAAAATACGAATACAATGGTTTTCAATCGTTCTACGATGAAAATAATATTGCTTCAGATGACGAATATGTCAACATTATTCGAGCAGGAATTAATAGACCACGAGTTTTTCCAAAACGTAAACCATGTGAAAAGTGGAATAATCCATTTAATCCCTTCATATTCAACGTTGTTAGATCCAACACTGATTTCCAATTTATAACTGAAGAATATTCTTGTGCAGCTTACGTGGTCGAATATGTTAACAAAACTAATAGAGGTGTTAGCAATTTACAAAGAAAAATAATTGAAATAATGGATGAACATCCTGAGTTTAATTTATTTGACATTACTAAAAATATTAGCATTAATCTTTTGAACCACACTGAGATGACGAGTCAAGAGGCTGCATGGTACTTATTGAGAGAACCAATGTCAAAAAGTTCAACTGTTATTGTCTATATACCAACCATTTGGCCAGTCGAAAGGCATAGAATAAAGAAGACAATGAAAGAATTAAGTGAACTAGAAGATGATTCAACCGACATATGGAAGGAAAATTATTTCGACAAGTATGAAAAGAGACCTGAAGATTTAGCAGGTATTTCTCTTGCTCAGTTTGTTGCTAAATATTATAAAAATAACAAGGGTGACTATGTACTCAGGGAAGAACCAAAAGTTATACGATATCGCAATTATGATATGGGTACAGACTACAATGAGTATCGGAGAGAAATGGTTACTTTGCACCTTCCATTCCGTCATGAAGAATCGGAAATTCTTGCAGAATCGCGATATCTTCAGTTATACGAAGAAAATGAGGCACTTATTCTAGATCGAAGAAAAGAGCTCGAATCAAATCTTGACATCGAAAAAACATTGGAAATCTGCAGGGAGTTATGTCGTGAAAATGTTTCCGATGATGATGAGGAGATAAACGACGTAGTTGGTAGAATTCCTAATGAAAACCCATTTGCTGAATTATATCAAAATCCAAACGCAGATTTAAATGATGATTTACGCCTTGCGTTGTTTGATAAGCTTGGATCAATTGCTAAAAAGAAAGATAATATCTTACCTTATCCAGAATTTTATGGGCTTATGCGCAAAGCAAACGAGGAACAGCGAGAAATTTTGTTTCCACACTATGCATCATTTAATATCAAACAACGAGCCAATGCAACAACCATTGTTGATATATTTGACTGGGCCAGCTGGTAGTGGTAAAACGTTGTAATAAAAGCACTCATGGAAATTTATAATAGATTTCTGACACGGATGGAATTTTCAACGCATACATTGCTTGTGCTTCAACTGGAAAAGCTGCTACAGCCATAGGTGGAACAACGGTGCATAATGCTTTAAGTATATCACTCTCAAGGCTATTGCCACTCAACATCGAAAAAGCTCATCAATACAGAGCGCTATTTGAGTTCATTAAGGTTATTATCATTGACGAAGTAAGCATGGTTTCAGCAGAATTATTAGAACAAATTAATGAACGTTTGAAGCAAATCACTGGCTTGTTCACAAAAGCTTTTGGTGGATTGGACGTGATCCTTATCGGAGATTTGCGCCAATTACCTCCTGTAAAAGCTACACCGATCTTTAAGCAAATAAAAAAAAATTACTGGTGAATCAATTTGGCGAAAATTTCATCAATTCGAACTCAAGAAGGTATGCGCCAAGAAAATAGACTCTTTTCTGCCATTTTAACAAAAATCGGTGATGGGTTCATTCTAACAGAAGAAGAATTAAATATGATAGAATCGAGATTTGTAACTAAAGAACACGCACAATCAGAATGTCCGGAAGGAACGAGACTTATGTTCACGAATAATAAGGTTAATGAATACAACAGTACAATTTTGAACAGTTTTGAAAATAAAATTGTTTCATTGGCATCGGATGTTTTCGTTGGTTGTCATAATGCAGAACAAGAAAATTTTGTAAGGCAAAAGTTACATAAAATGAAACCTGACGAGACTGGTGGATTACCTTATGAACTAGTTCTAGTTCCTAACCGACCCTATATGATAACCATAAACATAGATGTCGCTGATGGTTTATCTAATGGCACTGTAGGAAAATTACTACTCATAGAATCTGATAAAAATGATGAAATCACAAGACTTTGGTTCAAATTCTCAAAATCCATTGGTCAAAAACGTGCAACAAAATTTAGAAGCGACATTGCACGCTTGAAAATCGACAAAGACGCTGTTCCAATTTCTTTACAATCATCGTCAATACCACTCAACAGAAATAAAACTATAGTGGCAAAAAGAAAACATTTTCCACTGATTTCGGCTTTGGCGATGACAATTCATAAATCCCAAGGAGGTACGTTTGATGCTATCGTTTATGAATACAATCGTTCTCATTCAAGAGAATTGGTGTACGTTGCGCTATCAAGAGTAACTAGTATAGAAGGTTTGTTCTTAGTCACTGAAGACGACACAAGGGCGAGCTGGAAATTTCATCATGGCAGAGTAGGAAACGCACAGGTGGAAGATTCAAACGCAACAAAAAATCAAAAGAGATCAACAACTCATCGAGAAGATTTATCAATTGAATTGAAACGTTTACGTGAAAATCCTTTGCAAACCATCACCAAACACTTGTAGATTTTATTTCTAAGATAATAGATTGTCTATTTTTTCATTCAATTGTCAGAGTTTACGTGCGCATGTAGATGATCTAGCAATTGACGCTCTTGTTAAAAAGATGAATGTGTTAATTTTATCAGAAACTCATATGGGTAACAATGAAATAATTGACATTCCGAATTTCAACTTTGTTGCGAGTTTCAGAAGAAATAATCGTCCCGCGGGAGGAGTAGCTATTTATCAAAATATGAACACAGTTCATTATTGCACAAATTATATGGATGTACATGTGAAATACAACAGCATGTTTAATGCCACTGTTTCTGATATCGGTGATATTTGTATAAGTCGTTGCCACTCTGGTGATAATCAGTTCATAATTATGGTTGCCGTTTACATCTCTCCAGATAAGTCATTGCGTGCTATACGAGACTTCTTGTATGAAAATTTATTCATTTATTCTCATGATGCATCTGCATTGCTTAAAAAAAAATTGGAAAAAGCTTGATGAATTGCCAATGATTTTGAGTGGAGATTTCAACATAAACTTCGCAGACGATAAAAATCAACTATTAATTGAATTTTTAAATAATGAATTTGGTTTAACTATGTCAAATGATCGCAATCTTAGCACAACGAAATACAAAACTACTATTGATGCGGTCTTTATTAGACATTTAAATAGGTTCGAATCAAAACTGTTCGTTTCTTACTTCAGCTACCATAAACCTATCGTATCAGTTTTAGAGATTGGCGATGATAGTTCTGGTAATGATGATGGTGAAAAAGTCGTTGAAATTATGGATGAAAGTTGATTTTTCGGAAAGATAAACTTTTTCATGTAAAATAATTGTAATAGTTTTAAAGTGTTAAATTTTTAATGTAATATAAATTGTCATGTTTGTGTACGATAGCGCAATAAATGAATATTGTATTCTACCACATAAATGATAGTACTTTTATACTGATAAAGCAATTGGTGCAAAATTATTCCGTAACCATTCCAAAATATCAAACATGCTCAACGTTAATAATCAAGTTTTCACTTCTGCCGGCACTCCCGGAGTGCAACCCGTCGTGTACTTCAAAATTAACTGAAATTGTATAAGTCAATAGTACATTGCTAGTTCGAAAAAATTATGAAAAAAGACGCAGCTAACTTGGCGTTTTACTTGATTTCACATGTTTTTTTGATCTTACCTTTTTTCCATTTATACTAATTTTACTTGAATGTGGACTTGGCGCCAGTTTTTACAGGCATCCCTAGATGCCTGTTTTGTGCGGATCTCGTAATATTACTTAG